GATACAATCTTTAACACTTGTTATATTTGGACGGAATTTGCCCAAAATTGAAACTGAACTGATGAGGAAATGTTGTGACAGGATTGAAAGTACGTAAGTTAGTGAGTAAGGTTTAATTATGTAGCACATGTTACAGACCAACGTCACCCAAAGATCTTTATAACTGTTGAAAGAGGTCCTTTACGTCAGATTCTTGTTTTTTACTATTTCTTTAGAATGAACACAATTTTAACACAACATGAACAAATGACTCAAGCAACCATTGTCCTTCTGCCGAATATAAAAACACATTGAAGAGATTGTGTCACAAAGGCCCCCCCCCCGGCCCCCTTGGCCCCCCCAACCCCTCTGGCCTCTTCAGCCCCTCCCTAGAGACCCCCCCCCCCCCCCCCCCTCCCCCCCCCCCCTCCCCCTGGAGGTAATCCACAGCTGAGTTCATTCTTTCATCCACATGGTTTGTAAAGTCGGTGCAGAGCTGAGCCAGGTCCTAAAACACTCACGTTATAACAGTGTTTTTCCCATAACCCTCTAGTTCTCCGGCCACTGCTATTCCTGCTCCACCCTGCTCCACCCTGCTCCACCCTGCCCCCGCTAATACTCTGTCCTGCACTGGTCCTCCCCTGGTCCTCCCCTGGTCCTGCCCTGGTCCTCCCTTGGTCCTGCCCTGGTCCTCCCCTGGTCCTCCCCTGGTCCTGGTCCTGCCTGTCCTGGTCCTGTCCTGGTCATGCCCTGGTCCTGGTCTGTCCCTGATCTGCCTGGGTCGGCATTAGATCATATACGAAATTGGGACGAAACCGGAAGTAACAATCCTACTTTCGAATTGGTTGACTGAAGTGGTGACTGGTTAAGTTTTAGGCGTCTGAGTAAGATGGTTAAGGTTAGGGTTAAGGTGGTCTGAGTAAGATGGTTAAGGTTAGGGTTAAGGTGGTCTGAGTAAGATGGTTAAGGTTAGGGTTAAGGTGGTCTGAGTAAGATGGTTAAGGTTAGGGTTAAGGTGGTCTGAGTAAGATGGTTAAGGTTAGGGTTAAGGTGGTCTGAGTAAGATGGTTAAGGTTAGGGTTAAGGTGGTCTGAGTAAGATGGTTAAGGTTAGGGTTAAGGTGGTCTGAGTAAGATGGTTAAGGTTAGGGTTAAGGTGGTCTGAGTAAGATGGTTAAGGTTAGGGTTAAGGTGGTCTGAGTAAGATGGTTAAGGTTAGGGTTAAGGTGGTCTGAGTAAGATGGTTAAGGTTAGGGTTAAGGTGGTCTGAGTAAGATGGTTAAGGTTAGGGTTAAGGTGGTCTGAGTAAGATGGTTAAGGTTAGGGTTAAGGTGGTCTGAGTAAGATGGTTAAGGTTAGGGTTAAGGTGGTCTGAGTAAGATGGTTAAGGTTAGGGTTAAGGTGGTCTGAGTAAGATGGTTGGGGTTAGGGTTAAGGAGGTCTGAGTAAGATGGTTAAGGTTAAGGTTAAGGAGGTCTGAGTAAGATGGTTAAGGTTAAGGTTAAGGAGGTCTGAGTAAGATGGTTAAGGTTAAGGTTAAGGAGGTCTGAGTAAGATGGTTAAGGTTAGGGTTAAGGAGGTCTGAGTAAGATGGTTAAGGTTAGGGTTAAGGCTGGGTTGGGGTTATTTTATGGGAACGGATGGTTAAGTTTAGGCATGAATAGGTAGTTTGTTAAATTTACTTCTGCTTCCGTCCCGATTCCATATATAATCTAGTTCTGACCAATCCGCCCACCTCTGTCCCCCCCTGCTCTAGCCCCCCCCTGCTTCAGCCCCTCCCTTACCTCTTTTATAACTCAATAAACATCATTTTCAGTTTCTGCTCGTGGGTCTCTGACTGACATGTGACAGATTGAAGCTCATGTACATATCTTTTGTTCATGTATCCATGTGTCCATGTGTCCATGTGCCCATGTGTTCATGTGTTCATGTGTTCATGTGGTCATCTGTTCATCTGTTCATGTGTCCATGTGTTCATGGGTTCATGTAGTAGTAAGTAGTAAGTAATCTTTATTTATATACCGCCTTTTCACTGCAGATCTGAGTCTCAAAGCGGTTTACAATTGTTAATTTTTTTTGGGCATTTGTCTCTCACTCCACACAGAGATGGGAGCGGGGTCGCCAGTACAGGAGGCACATGCCAGAACTATTGGACATATTTTTTGTGGTAGGGGAAACCGGAGTACCCGGAGGAAACCTACGCAGACACGGGGAGAACATGCAAACTCCACTCAGAAAGGCTCTGGTCCGACCGGGATTCGAACCCAGGACCTTCTTGCTGAGAGGCGAGAGTGCTATCCACTCAGCCACCGTTCATGTGTCCATATGTTCCTCTGTTCATCTGTCCATGTGTTCATTGGCCATGTGTCCATGTGTCCATGTGTTCATGGGTTCATGGGTTCATGTGTCCATGTGTCCATGTGTTCATGTGTCCATGTGTCCATGTGTTTATGTGTTCATGTGTTCATGTGTCAATGTGTTCATGTGTTCATGTGTGCATGTGTTCAAGTGTCCATGTGTTCATGGGTCCATGTGTCCATGTGTTCATGTGTCAATGTGTTCATGTGTCCTTGTGTCCATGTGTTCATGTGTCCATGTGTCTATGTGTCTATGTGTCTATGTGTTCATGTGTCCATGTGTTCATGTGTTCATGTGTCCATGTGTCCATGTGTCCATGTGTCCATGTGTTCATGTGTCCATGTGTTCTTGTGTCCATGTGTCCATGTGTTCATGTGTTTATCTGTTCATGTGTTCATGTGTCCATGTGTCCATGTGTTCATGTGTCCATGTGTTCATGTGGTCATCTGTTCATCTGTTCATGTGTCCATGTGTTCATTGGTTCATGTGTCCATGTGTTCCTCTGTTCATCTGTCCATGTGTTCATTGGCCATGTGTCCATGTGTCAATGTGTTCATGTGTTCATGTGTTCAAGTGTCCATGTGTTCATGGGTTCATGTGTCCATGTGTCCATGTGTCCATGTGTTCATGTGTCCTTGTGTCCATGTGTTCATGTGTCCATGTGTTCATGTGTCCATGTGTCCATGTGTTCATGTGTCCATGTGTTCATGTGTTTATCTGTTCATGTGTTCATGTGTTCATGTGTTCATGTGTCCATGTGTCCATGTGTTCATGTGTCCATTTGTCCATGTGTTCATGTGTTCATGTGTCCATGTGTCAATGTGTCAATGTGTTCATGTGTTTATCTGTTCATGTGTTCATATATTCTTATGTTCATGGGTTCATGTGTCCATGTGTTCATGTGTTCTTGTGTTTATCTGTTCATGTGTTCATGTGTGCATGTGTTTATCTGTTCATGTGTTCATGTGTCCATGTGTCCATGTGTCCATGTGTTCATGTGTTTATCTGTTCATGTGTTCATGTGTTCATATGTTCTTGTGTTCATGGGTTCATGTGTTCATGTGTTCATATGTTCTTGTGTCCATGTGTCCATGTGTTCATGTGTTCTTGTGTCCATGTGTTCATGTGTTCTTGTGCCCATGTGTCCATGTGTTCATGTGTTCTTGTGTCCATGTGTTCATTTGTTCATGTGTCCATGTGTTCATGTGTTCATGTGTTCTTGTGTCCATGTGTCCATGTGTCCATGTGTTCATGGGTTCATGTGTCCATGTGTTCATGTGTTCATGTGTTCATGTGTTCATGTGTCCATGTGTCAATGTGTTCATGTGTTTATCTGTTCATGTGTTCATGTGTTCATATATTCTTGTGTTCATGGGTTCATGTGTCCATGTGTTCATGTGTTCTTGTGTTTATCTGTTCATGTGTTCATGTGTTCATGTGTGCATGTGTTTATGTGTTCATGTGTTCATGTGTTCATGTGTTCATGTGTTCATGTGTTCATGTGTTCATGTGTCCATGTGTCCATGTGTTCATGTGTTTATTTGTTCATGTGTTCATGTGTTCATATGTTCTTGTGTTCATGGGTTCATGTGTTCATATGTTCTTGTGTCCATGTGTTCATGTGTTCTTGTGTCCATGTGTTCATGTGTTCATGTGTCCATGTGTCAATGTGTTCATGTGTTTATCTGTTCATGTGTTCATATATTCTTGTGTTCATGGGTTCATGTGTCCATGTGTTCATGTGTTCTTGTGTTTATCTGTTCATGTGTTCATGTGTGCATGTGTTTATCTGTTCATGTGTTCATGTGTCCATGTGTTCATGTGTTTATCTGTTCATGTGTTCATGTGTTCATATGTTCTTGTGTTCATGGGTTCATGTGTTCATGTGTTCATATGTTCTTGTGTCCATGTGTCCATGTGTTCATGTGTTCTTGTGCCCATGTGTTCATTTGTTCTTGTGTCCATGTGTCCATGTGTTCATGTGTTATTGTGTCCATGTGTTCATGTGTCCATGTGTTCATGTGTTCATGTGTTCTTGTGTCCATGTGTCCATGTGTTCATGGGTTCATGTGTCCATGTGTTCATATGTGCATGTGTTCATGTGTCCATGTGTCAATGTGTTCATGTGTTTATCTGTTCATGTGTTCATGTGTTCATATATTCTTGTGTTCATGGGTTCATGTGTTCATGTGTTCTTGTGTTTATCTGTTCATGTGTTCATGTGTTCATGTGTGCATGTGTTTATCTGTTCATGTGTTCATGTGTTCATGTGTTCATGTGCTCATGTGTTCATGTGTCCATGTGTCCATGTGTTCATGTGTTTATTTGTTCATGTGTTCATGTGTTCATATGTTCTTGTGTTCATGGGTTCATGTGTTCATGTGTTCATATGTTCTTGTGTCCATGTGTTCATGTGTTCTTGTGTCCATGTGTTCATGTGTTCTTGTGTCCATGTGTTCATGTGTTCTTGTGTCCATGTGTTCACGTGTTCATGTGTCCATGTGTTCATGTGTTCATGTGTTCTTGTGTCCATGTGTCCATGTGTTCATGGGTTCATGTGTCCATGTGTCCATGTGTTCATGTGTTCATGTGTTCTTGTGTCCATGTGTCCATGTGTTCATGTGTTCTTGTGTCCATGTGTTCATGTGTCCATGTGTCCATGTGTTCATGTGTTCATGTGTCCATGGTGTACTCTCAGAGAAACACAGAAGCTCTAAGCCTCTGCCTCGCCACATGATGTAAAAGTGTAAAGTATAGTCTCTCAGATGTACACAGGTTTGAATCCCAGCTTTAACAGACTGTACCTCAAAGGCGCTGACGATGTCGGAGAAGGCGGGGCTGTTTCTGCGGCTCTCGTCCAATAGGAACATGCTGCGGTCGTACTCAGAGATGTAGGTGTCGAACACTCGGAAGTCCTCGCCGTGAGACAAGAACACATCCACCATCCGCGGGCTCTGCTCCCTGAAAACACAAGACCAAGATGTGGATCGATGTGCAGCAAAGTGGGTCGTTTCTGCTGCTGCTGAGTTCAGTTTGGGCGGCTACAGAACCTCATAACAATGTTTTTATTCATGAGATCACCTTTAAATCTGTCTCACCCAATAGATGCAACAAATGAATTACTTATTTGGAAATGTAAATTTATTGTCCATGTAGGGAAATTTGTCCTCTGCATTTGACCCTGAAGGCGTCCGTCAGGAGCAGTGGTCGCCATGGTAACAGAGCCCAGAACCATCTGCAGATGTTGATCTAGGTCCGGGCCACAGCTGGAGGATTTAACCATTGTGCATGTTTTTAGCGGTAGGGGAAACCGAAGCACCTGGAGGAAACCCTGTTTCAACCTTCTTGCTGAGAAGCGAGAGTGCTAACCACTCTGCCACCTTCCTCTATTCCTGTGGCTTTCACACCAAAGCATTACATTCAGGATTCAAGAGTTTATTTGACATTTGCAGTAAAACCACATTGGAAAAACTATGCAAGACTAACTCACCAGCACTCCTGCCAGAACAGGTGCGGCCTATATACAGGTGCGATTTATACACAGGTGTTATTCATACACAGGTGTGATTCATACACAGGTGTGATTCATACACAGGTGTTATTCATACACAGGTGTGATTCATACACAGGTGTTATTCATACACAGGTGCGATTCATACACAGGTGTTATTCATACACAGGTGTTATTCATACACAGGTGCGATTTATACACAGGTGTTATTCATACACAGGTGTTATTCATACACAGGTGTGATTCATACACAGGTGTGATTCATACACAGGTGCGGTTTATCTACAGGTGTGGTTTGTACACAGGTGTGGTTTATATACAGGCGCTACATCTGTCTGACGCAACAGGTGTCAGAAAACTTGGATTTTGTAAATGTAAATTATAAAGTAGTTTAGTCTGATTTTAGTTTAGACTGATGTTATAAATATATTTATATATAATATATATATTATATATATTTATACAGACTCACCACAGACTGATGTTGTATATATATATATTATACATATATTATATATATATTATATATATTTATACAGACTCACCACAGACTGATGTTATATATTATATATATATATATATATATATACTCAACACAGACTGATGTTAAATATTTAATATATATATTATATATATATATATTTATACAGACTCACCACAGACTGATGTTGTATATTTAATATATATATATATATATATATATATATATATATAATATATATATTTATACAGACTCACCACAGACTGATGCGCTGCTCCAGCTCCTGCAGGAGGCTCTTGTGGAGGTTGTAGACCTGAGGCAGGACCCCCAGGCTCTCCCCCCGGCTCTCCTCCCCCAGCACAGGCTCCTCCCCCTCCCCCACGGCCCCGCCCACTGCGGCTCGGAAGTCCTGAAACAAAACACACACATGCATAATGTTAGACCAAAGGTTATTAGTTTTTACTTTACAAACTCATCTGTCATGAATGTGATCATGAAAGAGAATTGGTTTTATTTTATCACTTTGTAAATTCATGTTCACAGTTTGACTTCCTGGTTGGACATAAGCAGCAACTATGGTCAAAGCAATTACCTACAAAAATCAGGGCAGATGCTAAACTAATTATCACAATTGTGTCAAATAACTGTTACTTCCATGTAATCGTTTGAACTAAAGTGTCATGACTTCAGTCAAACCAAAGAAACTACAGCAGTTTAAGGAGAAACAGTTGGACTCATGGGACCAAAGAGTTGTAGAAACGAAAGCTCTCGCAGGCGAGGAATGCATGGAGAGAAAATGGGAGGAAGGAAGGCCAGGCGCTCCTAAACATCCTCCCATGGACCCCCTCCCCTGACCCCCCTGACCCCCCACACCCCCCACCTCTCCCCGCTGCAGGATCCACCCCTCGGCCTCGGCTCGGACCAAACACCGGCCTCTGGGGCTGATGGGAAAGACTTCTGTGTCTGTGAAATGACATGAGATGTTTGGACGTGGTGCAGTCATAAAAGAACCAATGAGACGGAGCTCCAGAGCACGCCTCAACACGCCTGGTCAGAACAGGGTCTTTCTGAGTGGAGTTTGCATGTTCTCCTCGTGTCTGCTCAGTTTCTTCCAGGTGCTCCGGTTTCCTCAAAAAAACTAAAAACCTGTTAAAAATGTAAAATCCTAAAGCTCTGGTTCTGACCCAAAGCACCAACATCACGTCAGGACCACTGCTCCTGACGTAAGCCTTAGGGTCAAATAAAGAGGATGAATTGCCCTTTGAGGATTAATAAAATGCACCTTTACCAAACCCACAGTTTGTCCTCAGCATCTGCTCCGACCTTCAGAAGCAAAACATCAAACACCAACTGAGTCTGAAGAAGCTCTATTTTCATTTCATAAAAAGTCTGATAAAGATCCATAAACCGTAGGAGAATATTGGATCATTATTGGAAGAATCAGTCCCAGCTTTGTTTCAGTCTCAGTGAATACATGAAAGCCCCCCCCTCCCCCCATCATTCCACACATACAGTTTTAAACATAGTTTGTACAGTAGTATTATGTCAGAGATGACAACAATACAATGTTTTTTTCCTGCAGATTGAACTGATTTATGATGTAATTCTTTATAGCGTAAAGTGAGTTTCATTTGGTCTAATTCTAATAAACATGTTTTAAACACATGCCGCCTGCATCTCATCTCTGTTCTTCAGCGTCGACAGTTTATTCCTGCTCTGCCTGAAGTGATTAACAACACTGGTTTGAGACGATATTATATTCACGCTGTAATAAAAACATAAATACAATAAAATGTGTGAATCATTAAACCATTACACAGAAAACCACATCATATAAATTGTGTGTAAGTCTCGTCTGCGTTTCCGTCGGGTCGTAAGTCAAGCTCAGGGATAGAACCAAGAGTCGCTGTCCCAGAGTTTACAGCAGCTCACGCTCACATCTCAGACTCATCGACCCGACCGGACCCAGCATCCATCACTTATGGACCGACATGTAGCAGCCTGAGATGGCCCACATTACAGCAGAGGTCCACTTTACCTCAACATAAGGTCGAGATGCAGCATTAAGCAGTTGTTTGAGCAGGAAGTCATGCTTGGTTCTCGCTCCGCAGATCAAAGGGCACAGGAGTTTAGACCCATGGTTCTAAAGAGTTTAGACCAATAAGAGTGGACATAAGGAGAGACATATACAGTATACTGTGTGTATATATAGAGTGAGGTGCTGGAGGAGGCCCATCATGGGAGGACAAGCCCCTACATGAGGAGGTGCTGGAGGAGGCCCATCATGGGAGCACAAGCCCCTACATGAGGAGGTGCTGGAGGAGAGCCCATCATGGGGGACAAGCCCCTACATGAGGAGGTGCTGGAGGAGGCCCATCATGGGAGGACAAGCCCCTACATGAGGAGGTGCTGGAGGAGGTCCATCATGGGAGGACAAGCCCCTACATGAGGAGGTGCTGGAGGAGGTCCATCATGGGGGACAAGCCCCTGTCCTCTTTTTCCTGTATTTGATCAGAGAGAATCTCCGAGTGCAAAGAGTCGCTAGAAAAGTGAATATTTACCTCCTGCAGGAGCTTGAGGGCGCTCACGTGTCTGCAACAGAGAGTTTACATTATATACATATACATATATATATATATATATATATATATATATATATATATACATACATATATATATATATACATATATATGTACATACATATATTATCAATCAATCAATCAACTTTATTTGTATGGCGCCTTTCCAACACAAGGCCACTCAAAGCGCCTCACAACCCACATAATATCAGACAAATCAGAAACATCAAAAACTACATATACAAACAATAAATACATTAAAAACAGAATAAAATCACAAGTAATGAAAAAAAAAAAAAAAAAAAAAACCTTAAAATATTAAAAGCACACACGGGATTAAAATAATAAATAACCACAATGCATTAAAAAAAAGAGTATGTATCAATAAAATCCTTCAGCCGTATGCACAGCTAAAAAGAACAGTTTTTAGCCCTGATTTGAAAATTGCCAGAGTAGATGCTAGCCTCACATCCTCAGGAAGATTGTTCCAGATTTTAGCTCCATAAATCTCAAACGCTGCCTCCCCATGTTTAGTTCTGACTCTTGGAACCAGTAAGAGGCTTCCTCCTGTGCTCCTCAGAGTCCGGGTCGGTTCATATGGGACTAACAAGTCGCTTAAGTACTTTGGTGCGAGGCCATGGAGAGACTTGTAACAAGCAGTGCTGCTTTGAAGTCTATTCTCTGAGCCACAGGAAGCCAGTGCAGAGACCTGAGAACCGGACTAATGTGGTCGTACTTCCTGGTTCTAGTCAGGACTAATGCGGTCGTACTTCCTGGTTCTAGTCAGGACTGGAGCTGCTGCATTTTGAATGTACTGCAGCTGTTTTACAGCCTGTTTGGACAGACCTGTGAGCAGGCCATTGCAGTAGTCTAACCTACTGGAGACAAATGCATGGATAAGAATCTCCAAGTCTGCTTTAGACACTATGTTTTTGATCCTGGCAATGTTTTTTAGATGGTAAAAAGCTGCTGATGTTACTGATTTGATATGACTGTTAAAATTTAAGTCTGAGTCCATTATAACTCCTAGGTTTCTGACCTTGCCTACAGGTTCCAGGGAGAGAGACATATATGTATTATAAACATACATATATGTTTATAATGTTTATAATGAATGAAAGGAAATGTGTCCACTGCTGGTGTTAAATGTTTTCAGAGATGCTCGATGAGAAACTAAAGGTTAATGAACTAAAGTCAGTTTTAGGGAAAACCTTTGAGATGAACACGTACAGTCTCTCTGAGTCCAGCAGCTCCTGGGCCACGTAAAAGGCCCGAGATCGTCCATCAATCTGGGAACAGAACATATGACCATCAGTCTGGGAACAGAACATATGACCATCAGTCTGGGAACAGAACATATGTCCATCAATCTGGGAACAGAACATATGACCATCAGTCTGGGAACAGAACATATGTCCATCAGTCTGGGAACAGAACATATGACCATCAGTCTGGGAACAGAACATATGTCCATCAGTCTGGGAACAGAACATATGACCATCAGTCTGGGAACAGAACATATGACCATCAGTCTGGGAACAGAACATATGACCATCAGTCTGGGAACAGAACATATGACCATCAGTCTGGGAACAGAACATATGACCATCAGTCTGGGAACAGAACATATGTCCATCAGTCTGGGAACAGAACATATGACCATCAGTCTGGGAACAGAACATATGACCATCAGTCTTGGGAACAGAACATATGACCATCAGTCTGGGAACAGAACATATGACCATCAGTCTGGGAACAGAACATATGACCATCAGTCTGGGAACAGAACATATGACCATCAGTCTGGGAACAGAACATATGACCATCAGTCTGGGAACAGAACATATGACCATCAGTCTGGGAACAGAACATATGACCATCAGTCTGGGAACAGAACATATGACCATGGTAACCAGGCAGTTCTTCTGTGGGCGGGTCCTTTGTGTTAGTAATGGTTTTTACAGTGTTTTTAAAGACATGGGAAACTTTAGGACGTAAACACCAGAGGCGTTGGTTTTCAGTTCTACTCAGACTGATTGACAGCTGATCAGATGAACATTACTTAGACTTAGGGGGGGGGGCATCACTGCAGAGACTGTCAACTCAAAGTGAACAATGCACCCTGATGTTTCCACCAGTTCTTTAAGACTGAATCCTTCTCCAAAAGAACATTGAACATAGAAACATAGAAACAAGATAAGGACCGTATCAGTCCCAAACGGGGACATTTGATTGGCAGCTGCCCCCAGAGGGTCTGGGTCTAACACCGGACTGAGAGAGGACTACTGTCTGAGGAACAAGGCTGGACTCTGGGCCACATGTTTTAAAGGGTTTGGGTTGATAAAGCTGTATCACCTGTCGCTCAAAGCTGGGCTCGGTGACCCCCTCCTCTTCCTCCGAGGTCCTCCCATGGTCTTCATCAGCGGACTGTCCAGCCGGTGTGGAGGTCATTGGAAACGGCTCAGTGTAGGCACTGTTGGAGAAACACACATTTCATATTAACACTCTCATTAATGAACATACAAAATAAACACAGTCGAATCGTTACACACATTTCACTGACTCTACAATCACTGCGTAAGTTTGTAAACATGTGGCCAAAAGTGGTACTGCAGCCTCTCCCACTCTCCCTGACTCAGGTTGCCAGATATGCAGACGAATCCAGCTGGGACCATAACAGCTGAATAGACAAGAGTTTAGTCAACAACAAATCTATAACCAACACCTTCTTCACAAAGATAGAAATCCTGCTTTTATTCCTTGTTTTGTCGTTAATGATTTGAGAATCATAACGAGACCTTTTTTAGTTCTGCGCCACATGGTACTTTACCAGTGAGATTAGCTCCACATGGTACTTTACCAGTGAGATTAGCTCCACGCAGTGAGTTCTGGCGCCCGGATCACAGACTTTCTGATTGGTGAAACGGTGGAGGGCGGGACATCGAAATGAAAACAATAACAAGATTTAGAGGCTGGAAAAGTAATTTAGAAATTCAAATATGAACTACTGTTATCAGTTAAAGAGCAGTTTATTATTTTGACAGATTAGGGCCCTTTAATGAGGACAGATTAGGGCCCTTTAATGAGGACAGATTAGGGCCCTTTAATGAGGACAGATTAGGGCCCTTTAATGAGGACAGATTAGGGCCCTTTAATGATGACAGATTAGGGCCCTTTAATAATGACATAACATGATAATCTTACATGTTGTTACTTTAATATAAGTTAATATAAATAACTGAATAAAAGCCTGTCTCTGTGTCTATATGTACCTGTGTCTCTGTGTCTATATGTACCTGTGTCTCTGTGTCTATATGCACCAGTGTCTCTGTGTCTATATGTACCTGTGTCTATATGTACCTGTGTCTATATGTACCTGTGTCTCTGTGTCTATATGTACCTGTGTCAATATGTACCTGTGTCTATATGTACCTGTGTCTCTGTGTCCATATGTACCTGTGTCTCTGTGTCTGTGTGTACCTATGTCTCTGTGTCTATATGTATCCGGTTTGTCTATATGTACCTGTGTCTCTGTGTCTATATGTACCTGTGTCTCTGTGTGTCTATATGTACCTGTGTCTCTGTGTCTATATGTACCTGTGTCTATATGTACCTGTGTCTATATGTACCTGTGTCTCTGTGTCCATATGTACCTGTGTCTCTGTGTCCATATGTACCTGTGTCTCTGTGTCTGTGTGTACCTATGTCTCTGTGTCTATATGTACTTGTGTCTCTGTGTCTATATGTACCTGTGTCTCTGTGTCTATATGTACCTGTGTCTCTCTGTACCTGTGTCTGTGTGTCTATATGTACCTGTGTCTCTCTGTGTCTATATGTACCTGTGTCTCTGTGTCTATATGTACCTGTGTCTCTGTGTCTATATGTACCTGTGTCTCTGTGTGTCTATATGTACCTGTGTCTCTGTGTGTCTATATGTACCTGTGTCTCTGTGTCTATATGTACCTGTGTCTCTGTGTCTATATGTACCTGTGTCTCTCTGTGTCTCTCTGTACCTGTGTCTGTGTCTATATGTACCTGTGTCTCTGTGTCTATATGTACCTGTGTCTCTGGGTCTATATGTACCTGTGTCTCTGTGTGTCTATATGTACCTGTGTCTCTGTGTCTATATGTACCTGTGTCTCTGTGTCTATATGTACCTGTGTCTCTCTGTACCTGTGTCAGTGTCTATATGTACCTGTGTCTCTGTGTGTCTATATGTACCTGTGTCTCTGTGTCTATATGTACGTGTCTCTGTGTCTATATGTACCTGTGTCTCTGTGTCTATATGTACCTGTGTCTCTGTGTGTCTATATGTACCTGTGTCTCTCTGTACCTGTGTCTGTGTCTATATGTACCTGTGTCTCTGTGTCTATATGTACCTGTGTCTCTCTGTGTCTATCTGTCTATACCTGTTCTGTGTCTATATGTACCTGTGTCTCTGTGTCTATATGTACCTGTGTCTCTGTGTCTATATGTACCTGTGTCTCTGTGTGTCTATATGTACCTGTGTCTCTGTGTCTATATGTACCTGTGTACTGTGTCTCTTGTCTATATGTACCTGTGTCTCTCTGTACCTGTGTCTGTGTGTCTATATGTACCTGTGTCTCTGTGTCTATATGTACCTGTGTCTCTCTGTACCTGTGTCTGTGTGTCTATATGTACCTGTGTCTCTGTGTCTATATGTACCTGTGTCTCTGTGTCTATATGTACCTGTGTCTCTGTGTCTATATGTACCTGTGTCTCTGTGTGTCTATATGTACCTGTGTCTCTGTGTGTCTATATGTACCTGTGTCTCTGTGTCTATATGTACCTGTGTCTCTGTGTCTATATGTACCTGTGTCTCTCTGTGTCTCTCTGTACCTGTGTCTGTGTCTATATGTACCTGTGTCTCTGTGTCTATATGTACCTGTGTCTCTGGGTCTATATGTACCTGTGTCTCTGTGTGTCTATATGTACCTGTGTCTCTGTGTCTATATGTACCTGTGTCTCTGTGTCTATATGTACCTGTGTCTCTCTGTACCTGTGTCAGTGTCTATATGTACCTGTGTCTCTGTGTGTCTATATGTACCTGTGTCTCTGTGTCTATATGTACCTGTGTCTATATGTACCTGTGTCTCTGTGTCTATATGTACCTGTGTCTCTGTGTGTCTATATGTACCTGTGTCTCTCTGTACCTGTGTCTGTGTCTATATGTACCTGTGTCTCTGTGTCTATATGTACCTGTGTCTCTCTGTGTCTCTCTGTACCTGTGTCTGTGTCTATATGTACCTGTGTCTCTGTGTCTATATGTACCTGTGTCTCTGGGTCTATATGTACCTGTGTCTCTGTGTGTCTATATGTACCTGTGTCTCTGTGTCTATATGTACCTGTGTCTCTCTGTACCTGTGTCAGTGTCTATATGTACCTGTGTCTCTGTGTGTCTATATGTACCTGTGTCTCTGTGTCTATATGTACCTGTGTCTATATGTACCTGTGTCTCTGGGTCTATATGTACCTGTGTCTCTGTGTCTATATGTACCTGTGTCTCTGGGTCTATATGTACCTGTGTCTCTGTGTCTATATGTACCTGTGTCTCTGGGTCTATATGTACCTGTGTCTCTGTGTGTCTATATGTACCTGTGTCTCTCTGTACCTGTGTCTGTGTCTATATGTACCTGTGTCTCTCTGTGTCTATATGTACCTGTGTCTCTCTGTGTCTATATGTACCTGTGTCTCTGTGTGTCTATATGTACCTGTGTCTCTGTGTCTATATGTACCTGTGTCTATATGTACCTGTGTCTCTGGGTCTATATGTACCTGTGTCTCTGTGTCTATATGTACCTGTGTCTCTGTGTCTATATGTACCTGTGTCTCTCTGTGTCTATATGTACCTGTGTCTCTGTGTCTATATGTACCTGTGTCTCTGGGTCTATATGTACCTGTGTCTCTGTGTCTATATGTACCTGTGTCTCTGTGTCTATATGTACCTGTGTCTATATGTACCTGTGTCTAAATGTACCTGTGGCTACATGTACCTGTGTCTCTGTGTCGTACCTGAGGTCTATTATTGTATTGTTGTGTGACTCCTCGAAGGCCCCGCGGGTCTCGCTGGAGGTCGTTTCTCTGATAATCCTCTTAATAAACCTGAGGTAATTACAGGGGCCTCGAACCCATTAAGACCTAATGGACAGATTATTCCAGAGAGTGATGGTGATGTTTCCGGCCCACAGGAGTTTAGGACCTCTCTGTAGTGAGGTCAACCCCTCCCCCACACACACACAGGAGTTTAGGACCTCTCTATAGTGAGGGTCAACCCCCCCCCCACACACACACAGGAGTTTAGGACCTCTCTATAGTGAGGTCAACCCCCCCCCCACACACACACAGGAGTTTTAGGACCTCTCTATAGTGAGGTCAACCCCCCCCCCCACAGGAGTTTAGGACCTCTCTATAGTGAGGTCACACTAATGACGTTAAGGTGGAAATGTGCAGTTATATTAGATCATTATTATTATCATGATAATCATCATTATTATTATTAATACTAAAATATCATATTAGATCATTATAAGACAGAGATATTATACTTGTTATTGATGCTAGAATTAGAGATGTTTTATTTTAATTAGTAAATCCACTGTTCACTTGTGCTCCTCTTTCCTGAGCTATAACCTGTGATGCAACACTGACATTTCCCCGCTGTGGGACCAGTAAAGGATCTTCATCTTAATCTTAATATTAATCTTAATCTCATGTTGTGCGTTTGTGTTGTTATTCTTTTTGTTTCTTATTCCAAACTAAACCTAGTGGAATAAGCCTCGAGAGACAGTGTTATATTAGATTACAGTCGTTTCATTTAAAACAATAAAATAATAAAACATGAAATCGACACAAACCAGATCCATGTCAATAATTCCAGACGTTTTCTTTCTGCACAAATCGCCGCATTTTCCATTCGCTGAAAACAACAGAAGTGCAAAGATCACAGCTCCTGCTTCAGCACTTTACTCTCATTCATGGTTCATATGGAGCTGTGCTGGATTACAGTGGGGGGGGGGCAGACCATTACTCATCGCTGACCACAGCTGAAAGAGCACGAGCTGGACTCAGATTCTCAGATGGAAGAATGATGGAATATGTTTGATGATCCTGAAGAGGAGAATGTTAAAAGTGAAAGTGCCTTTGACCTCGGCGTGTTCCAGTCTCTGGTCTTTCTCTGCTGGAGACACTGATGGATCGTGTTGGCTGCGTTCTCTTCACAATTGATCAAATAAACACATGTTTGACGGTCAACGATCCAGAGCAGGGTCTAATCCCCACGAGAGACTGGATTATTATTATTATTATTATTATTATTATTATTATAATAAACTATGCTTTATATTAATATCAGTTTAGTTTTAGTTTTACTTCCTGTTCCCTGTTGACTATCTGCCACGCCCTGATGTGTTTCACCTGTGTCTATATGTACCTGTGTCTATGTGTACCTGTGTCTCTGTGTCTATATGTACCTGTGTCTATATGTACCTGTGTCTGTATGTACCTGTGTCTATATGTACCTGTGTCTATATGTACCTGTGTCTGTATGTACCTGTGTCTATATGTACCTGTGTC